AGTTCTGCATCAGGTCAAACCGGTGATCCTGGACAGCGAAATCTGCGTTCAGTTAGGGACCGTAGCGATATAATTGATTGATGAGAAGGCAAGGGGGACTCACGAAGGATCATATAAAGGAGCGGAAGGACGGAACACAGAGCGGCGTCTATGAGCGTGTGAATTCGTTTCGAGTACGTGTTGGGGTATATCTTGCGGTGGGAGGAGAGGAGCTCCAGGTAGCGCGCGAAGCAGAGGCAGACGCCGGGGAGCGCGGCGGTGATGCCCACCAGCAATTTCGTCACTATGGGAAGGAGAAACAAAGTGAGCTCAAAACGGAAGGGGAGAGTAATGTCGTAGCTCACATACCGATGTCGCACCAAACGGGAATTCGAGGCTCGACGTTGGAGGACCAGACGAGCGCATTGATAGCATGCACGAGATTCCCAAGCAGGAGCCAGACAACGACGGAGACGTTAGAGGTGTTGACCGTTGGGCGGCGGATCAGGATGATTAAAAATACAGCGAGGAGGCCGGTACAGAGGAAGGAGAGGATCGGGAGCGCTAATAACATTTCTTTTTTCTGGTGTTTAGGGCGCCCTGCGTAGTCAGGTTGGCTGCAGTGAAGCAGACGTGGGTGGTGGATACAGTGGTGAAGGGGCGGCTCAAAGGGACGGGACGGGAATATCTGTATATTAGAACGGACGAAAACAAGGGCCTCGCTGATGGGCGTCGCATTCTCGTTGCGGTGCCGATGTGAAGACCAGAGAGACAACTGAGTGGCCAAATTCGATACAAGGTAGAGCGTTAGTCAATAATTCCGGGCGGTGAGTGGGGACACCGTGACGGGGCACGAAGGTAGCGAGACAAAGGAATGTACGAATGTGGATGAAATGGCCGAAAAAGGAAAGTACAAGAAGAAGGTGGCTGTAAAGGCAATTCCAAGGAGAGCTCCAAAGATGGGACAAGATTGGACAGGGTGATCAGCGCAGAAGGCACAATCAGGTGTGGCGAGTCGTGGTCATCCGCAAAAGTTGTGATGGAGCACTGCCGGCACTACGCGGAATGGAGTAGAATTTACGAGAAAAGTTAGAGCTGTCGAGGGAAGTGCAGGAAATTATGGTTCAGCGAGTATATAAACAGGAAAGATGCCCTTCCAGATTCAGAGACTTGTGCGCTAAACCGTGACCGCTCGGAGGAGGTGTGGCATGGAGCGTCGATTTCGTGGTCTAGCTGGGGGCATACGGAGTAAGTGACGCCCACAGAAGAAAACCCGAGAGCAAGTTGGCCTGAAGAATGTAGGGACCTGTAGAAGGTACGCTCAGACGGGCGGGTGAAGGTGAAGGCGCGAGGCAAGGGCAGATTTGATGGGATCAGCTTCTCCCGACATCAGCGATCTCATCCCACGTTGCTCTCCGCCATCACCTTGCCCTCGGATTAGGCATATTTCCTGCTTCAAGAGAGCGCCTGCTCTTGTGAGCATTGCTTGGGACCCGCCGTGTGCGTTTCCGGCCCTGCACAACGACATCGGCAGTGAATGCTGATGCTCGAGCATCAGCAACACCCGCCATTAAAAAGAGATTACAGTCCTCCCAAAATACCAACGAATGACAAACGGCTGCGGAGGATGCCCGTTCGAAAAGGATGTTGCGTAATCAGTGCGTCAAGTCCGAGTCACAAGCTGTTAGAGGACGCCACCAGACCTGTCGATTAAGCGTCCAGTCCCCTCCAAATTGCATAGCTATTGGCGTGTACCCCTTCATGTCTTCGTCTCATGCGGCCACCGAAAGGGAACCCTTACTCCAGTCTGCGGGAAGTTCTACGACCAGAAACGATAAAAATGCGTATGTCATACATCTCGGCTCGAATCACGTTTGAATCTCCAACCGCTTCCAGATTGGCGAAATTCCTGCCTGTAGTAATCCTGGCGTCGGTTTGCGTGCGTACACCATTTCACATAGGCTTGAATCAATACCGCCCGTAGCGCGGAATGTCCATGTTCGCTCGATACGACTATCAAAATCGCTGGTCACCCCGTACGCCATCGCCATTCTCTGCCTTCACTCACTGTTCGAGCGTTCAGACTCCACTTCACGACGGTTCGATATCTGGCTTCAAATCCCGGGTGTGGTGCTCAGAGTGGACATGTGTATGAATTATTCACGTTGTCCCCGCTTGACCCTGGCCTGACGTAGAACTCGCTTTCTTCAGTGGAGATGGCGGTATCAACCCTGGTCAGTTTCATCAGCGTTGGGTGGTGGAGCGCAATGGGTGACCGGCGCGGCCGAAAATTCGTATTGTTGATTTGCGTGCTGGGTGCTTTACTCCGGTGAGTCGCTGTCATGTCCTTAGAGGTTCAGCTTTGATTGATTCGACTTCAATGCCCAGGGACGTGATTTACTTGGCTGTAGCACAGAGCAAATTTCAGGAAAGCGGCGTTTGGGTGGCGCTCGTTATTGACACACTTTTGGGTGGATTTACCACATTTAGCGGCATGGCTCATACGTACGCTCTTGTTCAAAGTCGGGCTGCATGACTTGACCATTCTGCAGATATGTGTCTGATATATCCGCCGACTCAGTATCGAGGTTTCACTTCATTTCGGTTGCAGGCTTGACCCCTCCCACTTATCTGTGCGAACAGAACCGTCAACTTCTGTGTATTGCAGGCCACGATCTTTGTTGCTTTCCGATTAGGTGCCTTCGTCAGTTTCCCTTCTGCTCCTTGCGTCATTTGGATGATCCCACTTCATTACTTTTAGCTGGGCGTAGCTGCCGATCCGGCGCATAGCAACGCAGCTTTTGCTGCCTCCGCTTTCCTTGCGTGCTACAACATGGCATATATTTATGTCCTCCTCCCCGAATCCTGGGTACCTCTGCCCTCACGTCCGCCGCGTACATGGAAGTCCGCGTTGGTTGACATTGCATCCCCGGCGACCGTATTTCTCCGCCGAGCCCCAGGGCGCAGCCAACTGGTTCGCCTCGCACTTTCGATATATATGTACTCGTTGGCGTCGGTCCGTCCACCTCTGACTGAAGTTGATGTGGAATGTAACAATTTTTTCAGGCATTCATGCCGAAGATTGAAGTATTCCTATCCGACCCGAGCCTAACGCTCTTCTCAGTCCCCGTAAGCAAAAATCCCCCGTACCAAGTGCCCACTCACCGAATACGAACTATTTACTTCAGAAAGAGCTCCTCCTCAAGATTCCAACCATCGTTAACATCCTCGCCTGGCTCTGCATCATGCCCAGTAAGAAGCCGTTCCCTCTCCGCTGACGTCTGAATCATCCCTCTGCAGCCGCTGCCTCATTTTTCAAACAAATCCATGGCGATGGCCCGGAATCCGGCTTCCTCTTCGCCAAACGCGTGGCGCAGCGCTCCCTCCTCCTCGCTGCGCTCTGCGTATTCGCGCTCGTCTTTTTCTGGGGCAGGTGGCCGGCACCGCGGGCGCGCTTCCGGCGCTGTACTCTCTCGCCACGACGTACCTCACCTCCCTTGGGCGAGGAGACGAACTGGGCGCGGCGTTTGGCTCGTTGGCAGCGTGGGTTTCGCTTGGCGAGTATCTTTCGGTGGGTCCATCCTCTCTCCGCGTTCTTCGACGATCTTTTTGGCCTAATTTATTCTGAAATTTTTTGTGCATAGTACTACATTATCGGCGACGGTGGGCGAAGCTTTCGGTACGGGATCGGGCTGGCGTTGCCCTGTTTGGCAATGTCGTTCGTTTTTTTGGTTGAACTGGACCCTCCCAGACACCCCGATGAGGGCGTAGTTGCATCGAGGTCAAGTGATCCGTAGTACGATAATGTTTCTCTACATAATCCATTTCCCAAACTCGTCTCCTAGAACATGGAGACCGACGACTTCACGATCCTTACCATTAATCCTTTCCGCTCCAGGGTTTTTTTGCTCCAATCTATTGGATCCATTTTAATTTGTCATGTTCTTAATTACTCCAGTACTGAATCTGGAGGTGGTTCAAATCAACGTTGCGTCGGCAACACAGAAAATCATGATCTTTCTCGTCGAATATCTTCCTTCCCTCCTCCACGGATGCCTTCGAGTCCATTAATTCAGGATTTCTTGCTGCTTGTAGCACTTCTGCCGCTTCGTAAGGCGCATTTCTGCCCCGATAGCGGGCAGAGCCTTCCTTTGACTCGAAGGTCTTGGCGACTTCTTGTGCGCCCTACCACAAGCACTGGACTTTCCGACGTATTTTTGGGGCCTCGGTCCTTCGATATTTATGCACATATCGGTTCTGTCTGCCACACTGCAAGTTCATGAAACATGGGCGAAGCCGTTTCGACTGATGAATTTGAGTCGGATTCGAGGCTACTGTGGATCGGTCGAAAACAGAGCTCATGACAGACTTAGGGCTGCACACCGTGCGCCGTCACGGGCACGGCCGTCGTTTTGACAGGCGATGGACGGGTAGTCTCTCGTAGACAGACGCCACAAACAATATTTAGCTCGTACCTCGCTTGTAATGGACGGGCACGGACCGTCACGCGACGGCCGTCATTTCGCCAGTTCAAACTCACAAGTAAGTTCATCAGATGTGCCCTAAATTGTGCATTGAACTTGCCTTTGTACAGAATATGCCTCACAAAAGGCCTGGACAGTATATTTAAGTGTTTATGGCGTGTTTTCAGGACCCGTCGACCCGTCGACGGCCGTTTTCGACGGGAACGGCCCTCAAAAATGCCGCCAAAGAGCCCACGGAACGGGACGGCATGCCCGTCGCCGGACTCCGTTGAACCGGCGCGACGGGCACGGCGTGCAGCCCTAGACATACTACCTGACGGCCTTGACTGACAGTCGCCTTAAAAGAAACACTGCAATAACTATCTGGGCACGGCCAGCGAAGAGTTGTTGCCGAGCCTGAAAGTTTGCAACCGGCCGATCGCCATTGCTCGGGATTCTGCCACATGTGCATGACTGCAGTGGCGCATTCCGGCAGGTCTATCAGGGAAGCCGAGGACGGCAACGGAACGGGATTTGGAATTTGGCCCGTTTAAACATGGTTGTATAGTGTAGCGGTTATCACACCAGATTCTGAACTAAGACTTCTGGTGACCCCGGTTCGATTCCGGGTACGACCTGACTTTTTCGTCCTGTTCATCACGATGTGCACACTCTCGGCGCGGCAGATTCCTTACCTCTACCGATACAGCCTTTGCCCCTATTTTGCAGTTGGCTCTTCTCCATCGCCGTCAAATGACTTCCTGCACAAACTCTCCGAAAAAGGTCCGGCTTCGGCGGAGTAATCAAAATGGATTGATCGAATGCGGTGCCTGACGACAAGCCTTTCTTGACCACTGGCAACGTCTTTGGCCGTATCATTTGGAGGCGCACTTTCTACCTCATCCGGTCTGCCCGCTCAATGTAACACTTCGTCTACTTACATCCTGCAACCCCCGGCCTTGGGTGCGCTCTCTGGGTTACGATTCGTTTTCTCCGACTCGGCGTACAATGCACGTCGATACTGCAGTCTGCCGCAAATATTATACACTTGGCTGCCTACAAACGATGTGGAATGTGGCGTTTTGTAAAAATATCAACAGGAGCTCCATGACAGGTTGTATTTTTACTCGACGTCAAATGTCTGCCATTTTTTTGATACAGGAGTTTTGCGGCTTGGCTCTTGTCTCTTCCCTCGTCGTTTCACGCACCACGTTTTTCTGCGTTTGCCCCAACTCCGTCGCGAACCTACTAGAGAAGACTATTTCGTTGTCGACGCATCTACACTTGGTCCTTGACGCATATCCTTCATCCACCGGACCGCCATGCGTGCCCTAACCTCTCTTCCTTTCGACGACGACCTCGTCCACCTCATAATGACCTTCTGCACCTCATTCGATGCGCTGGAGAATATCGCCCTTGTCTCGAAGACGTTCTACCGTGTATATCAGACGCACCCCAAGGTGTGTTGCTCCTGTTTCGTTTGTCTGTGGTAGGATTTTGATTGCCTCGCAGTCCATCGCCTACGCGGTAGCCGCCAACGTGGTTGACCCCGCGCTCCCGCAGGCCTTGCGCGTCATACGCTATCCCTACCCCGCAGATAGGAAAGCGCGGGATGAGCAGGGCGAAGAGCCGCTGGCGAAGGCGTGTTCGGAGGGAGATATGATCGCTGCTAGTGGCATCACGGTGAAGGAGGAACACACGTTATACGATAACATGGACACCGTGCAGACCTTGGAGGATATTTATAGTTTATCGTGCGTTCTCCGTCTTGCGTCCGTGTCCTCGGCTCCGACCCATGGGTCATGGCAAACAACTTATCCTTCACTATTTCGTCGTGAATTGACGATGGTTCATAGGCAAAAAGACCGCACCTCCAATACAAGCGTTCTCACCCCGGCCGAGTCGCACCGGTTCCAACGCGCGGTATACAGGATTATGTTCTACTGCACCCTTTTCTCTTCGGACATCGACGATAGCGAGGAGGATGTGCGGCTCATCCGCCGCCAGCGCGCGGCTGTGCTGAGCGAGTACCCAACCGATGAGCTGCGTGAGCTGTACGCCGTCGTGCAGTTCATGCGCGGGATTATGCGGGAGCAGTGTGACGAGGATCTTGGTAAGTCTCTGTGCTACATCACAAGTCGCTACAAATACTAACCTGCGAATGATAGAACCGGGCCTCATCGATCTCCTATTGACTTCAGGGCCCAACGGCGCCGTCCGTGTGTGGGAGGACGAATCGTATGAACGCATCGATGACCTCGATTTCGGGCGTCTGGACGAGCAGGAGGATGTACCACTCTATGAGGGGTATTTTGCCCTTGCGCTCAAGAGTGTTTGGGACGCGCGCGGGGTGGACGCGCCGAATGACGCGGAGCCTGCATCAAAGTGGATTCTGGATACCGTTATCGGCGCGGATGATACTTGTAAGCTCACTCCTTCCGGCTCCAAGTTTCCTTCATGTCCATGTCCCTGCGCAGGTTCGCAATGTGCTGCGCCCGGCGGGCTGGCCCTCCTCACAGAAGCCAGTGCGTGTGATTCCACCTGTCGCCTCTCCTTTCTCCCTCCCTCCCTTCCTTACAGCCCCCAGTGCAGCAGGCTGATCAGCTCCCTCACAGACTGGGGCCGGCCCTACTTCTCTCCCTCCCGGTGCCTTGAAGGTGAGCTGAAGAGCAACAAGGCTGTAATAAAACTCTTCGAGGACGTGGAGTACATCGGGCGGCACGAGCTGGGCCCGTGGATTTCCAGCATATTTGCGTTCGCTGCCGGTGCCCAGGCCAATTCCACCGAGACCGATACCAAGGCGAGGACCACGGGAGGCACGAGCGAGTGGGACGGATGGGAGATCGACCGCTCGTATTGCCGTCCGTGCCTGGACAAATTCTTGGATGGAAACGTCTGGCGGTGGTTCCTCGCGGAGCAGATTAAGGGTGTGTGATTCTTTCATTTCCGGTTTTCTTCTCCCATGTACTCATTGTTGCGGACGTTGAAGGTGGGTGGGTGCCCCCGGAAGACTGCTGGTACATTACTACCTACTTTCCTCACGAGTATGAAGCTGACGATCACGGAGTGACGGTTATGACTGCAAGACGATGGTGGAGGAAGAGGCCCATGCGGAGGGTAAAAATGTGAGTCTACGGCTGTGCACCGGGTTAAGCAGGAATCCGGCTCTGACCTGGGAATTTTAGCACCTGTGCGTGCCTACAACGGGTGTCGCGCAATGGACGTAAGCGGCAGATAGATATCACGAGTCTGTGTCAGGAATGTAAAACAATGCTGGAGCCATGTAGGAGGTCACCTAGATAGAACTATAGTTGACTGAATCGACGAACTCCAATAAAACCCTACTAGCCTAATCTACCGCGCACATACGCACATCTTTCCTTGCGCGCTCGCACGATTGGTAGGTCTGTCAACTGCGCAGTTGACAGACCTATCAAATGGCGATGGTCTAAATTCTCTGTTGCCAAATTGGTATCGCTTATGAGAATGCGCGAAATACGCTATTCACGCAGATAAGACCGGCGCTCAAGAGATGCGCGAAATATGCCATTGACTTAGATTTACTAGCATGGGAATGGCGGATAGAATAAATTTGGCATGAGGCTCGAGATAACGTCCGAGTCGGTCCCTCATTCTCATCCTCTCAACTGGAACAATGTCTGCCGCCAGTGCTTTGGAAAAATCTCGGGTATCCAGAAGAACGCCTTCAATCGAGCGCGTGAGTCGGCGCGATAGAGCGTCCATCACTATTGGGCAAGTGCTCAAAATTCCGCGACTGTGCACTTTGCCTGACGGTGGTTAACCAGATTCCGAACTCTGTCCATCCAAACGGAAGACAAGACGCTCCCGAAGCCCATTCCGGAACCCACAGAGGCCATCCGCCAAATCGATGCTCACATTGTCGACATATCAGAGCTCTGGACCCGGTATTCGAGCCACCCAGTACTGGGCCTTGACCTCAAGACCGTCGAGCGCAAGGCCCCGGATGGCAAGAATGTGATCTCTCCACCTCGCACTCAATATTGGAAGAAGGTTCTCAACTACATCTTCGGCGGATTCAACTTCTTGATGTGGATTGCCTTCGTCGTTACAATAGTACGTTCTCGGATGCAGCACGTTTGTTTCAGTATAGCTGAAAGCTTCTGCTAGCTGTCGTATCAGCCGCTCGGAGGTGACGATCCGGCTGTATTCAACCTCGGTGTTGCTGTCCTTCTGGTAGATTGTCTTTGTCTCCCACATCCCATCCAATAATCACGTCAGTCCCTTAGTTTCTCGTCATAGCCATTTCGGCCACCTTCTACTCTCTGGTCGATTTCCACGCATCCCGGGTCATGAAGTCTATCAAATCCCTGATCGCCCAGGATGCTACTGTTTTGCGCGGTGGCACTCACCAAGTCATCAAAGCCGCAGATCTTGTCGTCGGTGATATTGTGCTCTTGTCTATGGGCGAGCGTGTCCCCGCGGACCTACGAATCTTTGACGCGTCTTCCGACCTTAAATTCGATCGCTCGCTCCTTACCGGCGAAAGGTATGTACTCTTCTTCTGTTCGCCTTTGAACATCGCTGACGAGACCCCCCAGTGAGCCCATCCCAGGAAGTCTCACGGCAACATCCGACAACCCTCTGGAAACCCACAACCTCGCGCTCTCGTCGACTTTCGTCACCCAAGGTACTTGCAGTGGAGTCGTTTTTGCCATCGGCGACAAGTCTACTATGGGTCAAATCGTGGCCATGTCAGGTGAAACCAAGTTCAAGATGACTCCTATGCAAAGGCATGTTTCCCCTGTTTCTTGTCACATCGTGTCGGCTCACGAGAGGTTCTTTCCAGGGAAGTCTGGTTCTTCACCAAAATAATTTCGGCGCTCGCCCTCAGTTTGTTCTGTCTTTCCATCATCATTTGGGGGCATGGCTTCGGGTTGCCTTCCCTGGCTATTTGACGGCGAGCTCCGCCATCATCAATTCCATTGGCTGCTTGACAGCTTTCGTTCCTCAGGTTCGTCTTTCGATGCCTGTTTCGGTAGTTCGTTGTTCCTGACTTGCGATGAAACAGGGTCTTCCCCTCTGCGTCGCCCTTTCGCTCACAATCATCGCCAAACGCATGGCGAAGCGCAACGTCTTGGTGAAGAATTTGGCAACCATCGAAACTCTTGGCTGTATGTCCGTCCTGTGCTCCGATAAAACTGGAACTTTGACGACAGGAGTCATGGTGCGTCCTGAGTTCTCGGTCTCCAGCCACTTGGTGCTCATGTAGATAACTTAGTCGGTCGAAAGCCTGGCGTTCTTGGATAGATCCTACCATAACGTGAAGAAGGAACTCGTCGAGACGGAAAAGGAGACCGGCGGACCCGCCTTGGCCTCTGTCGTGAAGGTCGGGCGTCTCTGCAACGGGGCCCAGTTTATTGACCAAGAGGACTTTGCCGACACTCCCGACCAACGCCTGGTCAAAGGTGACGCCACGGACAGCGCCGTTCTGCGCTTCACCGAACTGTTCAATTCAGCAGAGTCGAGCATCGACGTGCCCGCCTTGATCACCTCTCACGAAACCGCCTACACAATCCCGTTCAATTCCAAGAACAAATGGATGCTTACCATCGTTCGCCCTCGCGGCGCCCCCGGGGTCCCACCCGATATGCTTGTC